CATCCATCCATCCATCCATCCATCATCTTTACCCGCTTCTTCCTTTTCAGGTCGTGGGGGTCACTGGTGCTCATATCCAGCAATCACTGTGCGAGGGCGGGGGACACCCTGGACAGGTCTCCAGTCCATCACAGAGACAAATGAGACAAACAACCATTCACTTTCTCACTCACACCTAGAGACTATTTAGAGTTACCAATCAGTCTAACATGCATGTTTTTGTTTTTAGTCTGTGGGAGGAAACTGGAGTACCTGGCCCCTGGCTGGGATTGGAACTGGCAACCTGCTCGCAGAGAGGAAGCAGCTTCTAACTGCACCTTTATTTATTTATTTATTTAATTAAATGTAATGCTAAAAAAAAACACCCTGTAACTTATTATAAATGATTTATAAACTCAGTACCACTTTACAACAAGACTCCCCGTATAGATGCTCATAAATAGTTTATCGTTATTAATTCCTCTATAAATACTATAAATCATTAATAATGGATTTATGCATTAATTAAGGGTGACAGAGACAAAACTGACCATTTTCTTGTCTAATAGTGAACCAGATCTGTTCACCTATATATTTCATCTGGAGTTTTTATATTAAACATTTCAGACTAACTTACTACATTGTAAACACAATAAGCATAACTATTTCTTTAGCATATAATATTTTATTTTATCACTGCATTGTAAGTATCTAAAACTAATATCCTAAAACAGTTAGGCTTACAACTTAGTCCGAAATGTTTAATGTAACATCTGTAGATGAAATATATAGGTGAACAGATCTGGCTCACTATTAGACAAGAAACTGGTCAGTTTTGTCTCTGTCACCCTTAATTAATGCTTAATAAGCAGTTATTGATATTTATTAAGTGTTTATAGATTAACTAATAACATTTCTATAAACTATTTATTAGCATCTATGAGGGGAGTCTTATTGTAAAGTTGTACCATTAACTCTGTACAACCTACTGATGTATTCAGTATTTGTTAGTTAAATATTGGGGTGCACAGTTGCCCAGTTTTTAAGATGCCGGCTTTGATCGCTGTAAGCACCTGAACTGAAGTCAGAGGAAAAACCACGGGCAGTTCTGACGGAGTTCCCCCTGGCTCCGACACTTTTACTATAAGCAGTCAACAGTTGTGAGTATGTGAAGCTGTGCTGGAAAACTCAGAGTGGATCAACAGACAGAAATACTTGTGAGGGATCGGGTGCTGCTGCTACAAGGACTGCATGGATCACAGACCTCTGCAGAACTGGGAAGAGTCATTAAAGACGAGTTGTGCACAAGGACTTGAAGAGCAACTCTTAAATCATTTTCAAATCAAGTTTGCTTCCTAAAATGATCAGATTGTCATTATCTGCAGTGAAAGAGGTCTGAGCAGCTGAATAAAACCAAAGCACTCCTACAAACCTTTAATGAAACAAAAGATGTCCCTTTGGTCGAGCATAGATTTGATTCTTCCGATTCAAGGTCAACATCGTGAGCTGCATAAAAACATTAAAGCCATCAACACACACTTTGCCTCTGGGTTTACTGTTTAACCCACAATGAAGCAGAAAAGATTCACATCCAATAAGCTCAAGTCCTGTCAGAAAAGTCTTCTTGTGGACATTAAGACATGGTCAGTCACTGACGGTGCTTTCCTTCTCTGCAAACACGATCAGTTTACAGGGAGAAGAGTCGCTGCTCCTTCACTGCAGTTTCTCATTATGGACGAGCTTCCATTCAAACCCTTGGCCTTTTGTTGGCTTCTCCAGTGAGACGCGTCACCTGGAAGCCCCATAAATGAGTTTATCATCCCCTCGTCACCGCGTCCTCCCTGTCAGCAGCAGCTCCAGATTCAGAGGTTTATCAGCAGCCACCAGAGGCTGCAGCGCAGTGCCTGCACCGGGTGGTGCCACAGCGCTTTGCATGGACTCCAGATCTGGACACAGCTGGAGGAGTGCTGACATTTCACTTCCAGTTGTTGCAGGCACAGCCTCCTCTGTGGGGCTGTAAGAAAACTACGAGTGATCAAACATACACAAGAGCTGATCGAGAGCTTCTGATGTTCCATTTTCTGCTCCTTCTTATAAACTGACGACTTTCATTGTCTTTCTGAACAATAAATCATAATTCGGATGGTTTAGTTGAGGCAAAGTGGTCCTTTTGTTCAGGTCAAATCCTGCCAGAATCATTCACTTCATCAGGAACCAAAGATTTGTAAGCAAAAACTTTTAAAGTTTAAAAGTTACGTTATTTAAGAATCTTGGTTAATTTGTGCTCACAAAACATGTGATTTATTGAAATGTCACAGTTTGATATGTGGATCTTCCAGGATGTGAACATGTCTTCCGAGCTTAGTTTTGGTGGAACCTCCCGGAGGAACAGGGCTATCTGGTCTGAGCTCCCACGCGCGATGGAGTCCGTGTTCAGAACTTCGGGACGGAACTGGTTGTGCGTAAAGACGCGACTGGGGCCGATGGCCGAGCTTTGACACAACTGGCGCCCTGTAATCTGTGGTTCCACCTGACAGCAACAAACCTTTGAAGCAGCCACTCAAACATTCTCGGACCGACTCCGGAGGCGCGCACGTGCAGCTGAGCACCAAAACTTCCAGCTCCAATCACGAACAGAGACCATGTGCGCGGAGCCGCGCAGAGCCGGAGCCACAGTGCGTGCCACTCGTTTAGTTCATCTGTGTGTGGTTCCACTCGTGTCATGCACAGACTGCACAACCCACGGAGGAGCGGATCAGAGGACGCGCGGATGGAAGTCCGAGGAGAGAGGGAGGAAAACTTGTGGAAATGATCTTACCTGTACGGAGGGAATCGGAAATCCCAGCCGAGCGCGTGGAAACTCATCTACTCCGTGTCTAAACGAGAAGAGTCGAACTTGGAATGATCCGAACCGAACGGCCCAGCGGAGATGAGCGCACACCGGGAGCCGCGCCGCTCTGTGCGCGCTGCAGCGCACTGCCTCCGATGTATGGAGGAGGGAGGGGGGAGGCGGGGAGGGGGCGGAGGAGGAGAACGAGGAGGGGAATCCCTCATTAACAAGAGGACATGCACAGAAATACACGCGCGCATGCACACGCGCTCATCACTCGGGGTGTCTGCTCCCATCGTTCCTCATGTCTGCACCACGACGCACGATGTCCTGACCCAAACAGACCATGAAGAGATCAGGTGTTGTAACACTGCACATTACTAACTATCATATGTTCATTATATGTTCTTGTTTTTAGTATTTCACCCTGTTTTTACGGCACCCAGATGTATTGGTTTTATACACTACTCTTATTTTAACTGCATTTTACTGTACTTTATTGTTATTGTTATTGTTATTATTGTTATTGTTGTCTGCACCTTACATGTTCTGTCTGGAACAGGTCTCTCTTGTAAATGAGTCCTCGTGGCTCAATGAGCCTAGCCTGTATAAATACAGGTTGAATGAATTGAAATAACTAATGTGATGTGTTGAAATATAACTCCACTAACCAGTGACCTGTAGTTATCCCTTATAATGCACAATGCGGGATGTTTTTAGTAAATACAGTAAAATGAATAACCTTCTGTGAATGTTTTGCACCTACTGTAACTAGGTACATCCTGCTGCCAGTGGGTGAGGGCAACAATGTTTGTCTGGTTACAAAATATCACATTTCTTTGGTGTTAATCTAATTCAAGATGGCCGCCACAGCTTATTGACTTAGTTACAACAAAATTTTTAATGTTTCAAATACTGAGCTACAGTTTTGGAGTGATGGTAGCTGAGAGTCATGCCAAACACATGCTCTGAGGGCTACACATGGAGTTAAGACTTGGTCATTATTGAATGTTCATCCTCAACTTATTAGCTGTGGAGTCCGTTCATCTCAAGATGGCCGCCACAGCTAATTGACCTTAGCTAAAACAAAAGTGGCTACACTCCAGTCAGATGTTGAGCTAAACGTGGTGTTTTCCAGCTGAGATTCACTGAGAGTGACACACTGCGATGAATCTTTGCCCAAAATGTTGACATTGACTGTTGGAGTCAGTGCTGTCTGTTAGTGAAATATCTCATCATCTACTGGAAAAACTAATTACAACTTTCAGAACATTATCATTTGCAATCATTATCATCCATCCATCCATCCATTATCTTTACTTGCTTATTCCATTTTGGGTCACGGGGGTCGCTGGTGCCCATGTCCACCAATCACTGTGCGAGGGGCGGGGGACACCCTGGACGGGTCTCCAGTCCATCACAGGGACACATAGAGACAAACAACCATTTACTCTCTCACTCACACCTAGGGACAATTTAGAGTTACCAATCAGCCTAACATGCATGTTTTTTGGTCTGTGGGAAGAAACCGGAGTACCTGGAGAAAACCCACGCATGCACGGAGAGAACATGCAAACTCCACCCAGAAAGGCCCCTGGACCGGGGTTTGAACCAGGGACCTGCTCACTGAGAGGCAGCAGCTCTACCAGTTCAGAGAGAGTCAGAGATTCTTTATTGTCATTCGCACCTCATGTGGTACATGTGGTGGAGCGAAATTATGTACACAGGGTCCCAGTTACATCCAACAATAAAATGTATAAGAAAAACAGTAATAACATCTAAGATATGAACTAAGAAAAACATCAACTATATATATGCTAAGCACTCATAACAAAACATTGAACATCAGCACAAACATGAACATGAGTCTATGTGAGCAGATGTGCACGCATGAACACATCAACATGAAACAGATCAGCAGCAACATGAAACAGATCAGCAGCAACATGATATGGCTTTTCACAGTGATTATTCTAGTTAGAGATTCATGAGTCTAACAGCCTCAGGGTAGAAGCTGTTCCTCAGTCTAGTGGTTCTACACTTAATGCTCCACAACCTCCTTCCTGAGGGGAGTGGGGCAAAAAGTGTGTGTGCTGGGTGAGTGTGGTCCTTCATGATGCAGGTGGCCCTCTTCCTGCATCTGGAGGTGTAGATGTCTGTCTTGAATGAGTATGAAAGAATGATACGCATTCCTTCATGCTTTTAATAAGTACATGTGAACTCCCTTAATACATGAATGGACAACCCTTCTGTTGTTATGTGCTTTACTAAGCACTTGTTTGCAGGATGAGTTTGAGAGGACATCGTCTCCTCTGGGCAGAGTTATCCTTTCTAACATCTGCTCCTTGTGACACCTCATGACTACACAGGTATTTAACGCAGGGCTGAATCACAACTCTGTCAAAACATTAAACATCACACGGTAATTCTCTTGTGGAGTCTTCTGCGTGTTCCTGGGATTCCTCGCCGAACCTTCTTGGAGATTGCTTCTGTCCTGCTTTGCTTCCAAACACAATTAAAAAGTCAGCTCAGCCTCTCGGCCTGTCCTGCCTGTCCGTTCTTGAATCATCCAAAGAACGTCACTTACCTCACTTTGGACTTCTGGACTCTCCACCCTCCCTCGAAAATCTGCAGCACAAAGAAATCAAGTAAGCCAAAATTATTTATTATGGAAAATCCTATAGCTCTTCATCTTCACCTGTGAACCCACTGACCGGCTTCATTCCTTCTACAGATGATGTCACTCCTGGCTTGTGGAACATTTTATAATAAAACTTGTTTTACTCACCTTCAGTTTCTGTCTGGATCTTTTCAGCCAAAGTGACTGTACTCTGTAAGAAAGTAAATAACTGTGACTGCCACCAAATAAAGGCTTTCCTCAAAATTTAATTAAAGATCCATGTTTTTATCCATCCATCCATCATCTTTACCTGCTTCTGTAACGAACCACCTAACAGTTGGACCAAAATCACCACACAAAAAGTCAAAATTAAATTATATTTATTTTCAAGGTGAAGTATAGCAGATTGGACCAGTTCTGGCACTGGTTCTGGTTTTGGGTTCTGGTTCCGGATCAGGAACGAGTCTATGAGACAGAGATCGGTTAGTGGTCGTGCAGGAGATGATGGAGAGCAAGAGTCAGAATCAGGAGGACCACTAACCATCTCAGATGAGCTTGAAGGTTCTGGAGACTGACGAGGTCCAAACTGATCCGGACCGCTGCAGGAGAGGCTGAGTCCGGTGAGGGGCTGCAACCGGCCACAGCAACAGGTGGGTGGTGAGTCCGTTGAGCGAAGAGATGTGGTCACACAAGCCTGGGTCCAAAACTGGAGAGCAGAAGACAGGAGGTACCGGAGGAGAAGACGAGGAGGCGTTGTCGTGCAGGCGAAGGTCAGAACTGAAAGCAGAAGATGTAATAATCCAAAGGGGCGAGCGAGAGACGATGTCCAGGTGAGTCGTGGGTCCAGGAGCCGGGAGGTCAAGCCAAGAGGGGAGGACATGAACCAGGAGAAGGACAGGAACCAGGAGGAGGACAGGAACCAGGTAAACTATGACAAGGGAACATGAAAAGTTATGGGGGAACAAGGCAGGATCAGTAACGCGAGGTATTTACTTACAGTGAACTGTTTTCAACTACCGGGCACCGAAGAAGAGAAAGAGTGCAGCTTTTAAAGGGTGAGAGAGACAGGTGCAGCCAGTTGAGTTCAATCAGCTGCTGCTGGCTGCAGTGAAGACAAAACTAAACAACCGTGACATCACCCTCCACCAGCATGCAAAGAAGACAAACTAAAACTCACGTATATTTAAACATTGCCTGAGCGGACAGAATAAATGAAACTTACAGAAAAGATCTATTGCAAACTTTAAAGGGTGATCAGGGTGACAGAAAATATAATCTATGGGACGTGATTCGTGACAGCTTCTTCCTTTTTGGGTCTCGGGGGTCACTGGTGCTTATGTCCAGCCATCACTGTGTGAGAGGCGGGGACACCCTGGACATGTCTCCAGTCCATCACAGGGACACACAGAGACAAACAAGCATTCACTCTCTCACCTAGGAACAATTTAGAGTTACCAATCAGCCTAACGTGCATGTTTTTGGTTTGTGGGAGGAAACTGGAGTACCTGGAGAAAACCCACACATGCACAGAGAGAACATGCAAACTCCACCCAGAAAGATCCTGGACTGGGATTTGAACTGGCAACCTTTTTGCTGAGAGGCAGCAGCTCTACCAACTAAGTCACCGTGCCACCCCACAGAACATTCAACAAACGGTAAATCATTTTCATAGCAAAGTTTAACATACGTTATACCAAATCTGAATAGCAGTCTGCCATTTGAGTTGTTTATTAAAAACTATTAGTAAAACTTATTATTGGAAAAAAAAGATTTTTATTTATCTTTATAAATAGTGTAGAGTCTAGAGCCCAGATATTTTTCTAGACCCCATTTTATGTTCCTCTCTTTTCAGAACCTCAAATACATGTCCACATCCATATTACATACTTTTCAAGATATCATAGGAACCCTGAGTCTAAACGAGGGTTAGCTTATTTAGAACAATTAGTATTTATTTACTAATTTATGTTATTCCAAGTAGACACACATGGATGTTTATAAAGTGAGCATATATGATTATTAATGAGAAGTTTAAGAAAACGTCAAGTGAAACCACATACATTTGTTATATTCAGGACACATTTTATACAGTTTGATATTCTGAATTCCTCAATACTTTCTACCCATGAACTCATATTTATAATGACTGTTTTCTTGGCGTCTCTGGGAGTGAGTGTGAAATGTTGTCTGTTTCGTTTGCCTCCATTTGTGCCTGTGATGGACTTGATGATGGCCTTTTGCTCACTGACTGCTGGAGATCAGGACCAGCTCCGCTGTGACAGGAAAGGTAAAAGCAGGCAAAGAAAATACATAAATTAATTTCCTTCTGCTTTGTAACTTTTATTTAGAATCAGATTTGTAACAAGACAAAGCTGAAAAAAGGATTTATTTCGCTGACACACAATAATTAAGTGATTACCATTTGAAGGTAAAAGTAACGCAGACCCTTGAAGTGAG